CATGGAGGTAACACATTTACTACCGATTATTCATATTTTGAAGGAAAATCTCTGTCTTTATTTCAACTAAGATAAGTTTGTGGCATATATACACAATGGAATATTACTCAGCCTTTAAAAAGGAAATACAGCTATTTGCAATAACATGTCTCCCATGGATGAACTTGGAAGACGTCATGCTAAATGAAATACGCTAGACACAGAAAGAAAAGCACTGTATGATCTCATTTATGTGGGGAATCTAAAAAATAGTCAAATATGGAGAAACAGAAAGTAGAACAGTGGATAACCAGGGACAGGGAGGGGGAGGAAATGAGGAGGTGTAGGTCAAAAGGTATAAACTTGCAGTTATGTAGGATAAGTCTAGAGATCTAGTGTACAGTAGGAGGACTATAGTTTTAAATATTGTATTCTATATTAAAGATTTGCTAGGAGAGTAGATTTTAGGTACTCTTACAACAACAAAACAGAGGTAACTGTGAAAGGTGATGGACATACTTAAGAGTCTCACAATTACCTGATTCTTTGCCTTAAACTTGCATGAAAAGCATAAATGGTGTTTATGCTATGTTACATATTTGTGGGTTAGCCCAAGAAAGGCCCAGGGAACACCTAATTTCTCTAAATAATAAGAGATATATCAAAAGATCTCCAAGCCTAGTAACAATACTGGGGAGTATGCATTCTGGGGACCAAAGTCTGCATTCTGAAGGGCAAGGTCTACATTCTAAGGAACAGCCAAAGAACACTCCATTAGCCAAAAGCCTTGCTGTCCAGCTGAGCCAACTCTTGGTCAAGCTACCAAAAGGAGAAAGAAAATTAGTCTCCAAGGCCATTCCATTTGTCTCTCATCATTTGGCTAAAAGTTTTGAACCTAGGATTTAGTTTTTCTTCATGGAGGAAATTACTGGCTACACAAAGAATATAAAAGCATGATATAGCCTACAAGGTTGGCTTGCAAAACTGAATATTTTTACTGCCCTCCAATGGAAATGAAGTTTGAGAGCTGGAGGAAGAGAGTAGACTATGACAACCTAGGAATTGTTGGAGGCTTTTGGTTCTTTTGCTTGTGTTAAGCACTATAGCTTTATCATAAACTACAATGAACTCTGTTTTCAATGAAGAAACAAAAGTATATTTACAGTGAGACATTTTAGAATATCCTCAGTTGTATTTCCTCACTGAAAATGTATTTCCCTGCAATAGTACAAGATACTGACCAGTTAACTCACAGACTTTTTTGTCTGTCATGTGATATGGGCAATCTCATGTCTCAGAAAGAGGAATTTATTGAAATTCCCACCAGCCTGACAATATCCCAGATCCTTAGCAAAGCTGAGAAGGCGGTGAAGAAATGAAGTGCATTTGCATAGATGAGTGTGGCTCCTAGAAATGTTGTGGCACTAAATCAGAGTCAGAGAAACTGCCTGGACACCTGCTAATGTGTGGTTTCTGCTCCCTTTGTTCAGTTTGGCTTAATTCTTAGAAATGGATGAGCTCAATGAATTAGCACCTTTCCTAATAACCAGTAAGAAGGCTGGGAGGTATTTTTCTCTGATGTTTGTGGTGGGATGGCTCTATTGACACCCCCAGACTCTCCGAGCAATGAGTTCCCTCTCTCTTTTACAAGGAGTATCTCACTAGAAAAACTTGAGAAGTATTCTCTTAGAGTCTACTTTTCTCTCAATGCCGACAAGCAGTTGGCAACAGATACATGCATTCTACTTCCTAAATATCCCTCCAAATAACCCATCTTCCTCCACATCCTTAGTTCATATTGTCATCATTTATTGCTCCAATGAGTACAGTAACTTTCTTCCTATCTGGGCTTCCAGCTGATAGTTAAGCTATTGCTAAATGCTAAATGCTAACAAATAAACTTCCAAATTGCAGTGGCTTGATAATTGGAGTTTTAGTACTGTTGTTTTTGTGCGATGGTGGCTTCCCTTATAGTAATTCCAGACCCTTTATTCTTGTGATTCTGTAATACTGTCAGGAAAGAATCAGCTACTTC